GAAGCCACCTGAAGAAAAAAATTCTTATCGAATCTTCTTCCTAAAACGCAATGTCAATGAAACATTTCATGAAATGGACGTAAACGTCAACTAAAACAGCATTCTATTTTCCGCCGCCTTATTCTTTCATATAATTTTAAGTTGGCCGAAAACTAAATAACTATTTTAGAGTCAATCCAGTTTTCAGCCACGACCGAAATTTTTGTTTCATCACTAAATATTCAAATTGCAGTACTTGGTGGCCGAAAACTGAAAGTTAGTGTCTACGCACGCGAGACACTAACTTTCAAGAGACAAAGTATTTAGGCTAAGCTCGGGCTACTTTTCGGCCGCATGGCCGACAACCAAATAATAGCCCAATTTTATTTGTCACTTTTCGACCACTTAATTTATTAACTTTATCAATAAAGTACTATAATAATCAATGTCAAATAACTGTATTAGGTTATTTATACAGTGAATTATAAGCACAATATTAAGTAATTATATTAAATACAGCACGAAACTAACGTTTGAATGGAACGCGCGCCACTATTTTTTTTTGCTCGATCTTACACGTTTTGACAGCTTCTGAGCCGACGTCGAACTAAACTATTTATTTTAAATCGCGTGTTGTGTTTACCTGATTAATTAATGTTACCAGATATAGTGCAACTATTTACAAATGCTTAAACTTTATTTCTTACGATAATATTTATTAAAACCGTTATTAAATCAAATTTACTGCATCACCTCGTGCCAAAGGCCGACATCTAGACCCGGCCGGCTTACCGGCGCATCGACCCTACTATCGCTAGATAGATTGTATGACATATGCAATTGCACACCTTCGGTGGTTTTGAAAAGAGCCGTTTGGGTTTGCTTGAGATATTTACAAACAATACAATACATGAACAAAAGAAAAGCATGAACAAAGTGCAAACAAACTATGTACAAAGTTAAAAAAAGGGACTCCTGGCAGATGTGAAACCTCGAAATTATTTTGTTTAAGTTATATGCATAAGAAAACAGATTACGACAGGAATTAGATAGTTATAATGAGAAGATAAAGCTTTGCTAATTTTTTACCATAAAATAATGACTATTTATTATATAATTCATTTTCAATTCATAATAAACCGTACAAAATGATATTTTTAAACTCATATGGTAATATAAATTAGCCGATAGCGTATTTGTACCATCTAGCGTAATCTTTAAGTACCATCGTGAGAATCAACCAATTTTCGTTCGATAAAATGACTATAATCGATAGAATTACGTAGATTAAAATTTTATATACTGGAAATAACTAAACTAAAAAGAGTATTCTTTAAAAACCTCAATACATTCTTCTGTATTCTTTTGATTTATTACATTAAAATTTGGGCTTCACGTTAAAAAAAGATTGTAACACTTATTTCCTACAAAATTAAGCCTAGGTGTCTATTATCAAATTGATATTTTTAATTCATATGGTAATATAAATATTGAGTTATTAAACCTTTAAATACGCCTAACTTAATAAAACTTTAATACTAAAGAGTCCTGTACCTATATTTAAAGTATGAAGAAATGTTTATTGAATATTAAATTTCATTTTTATAGATTTTACCTTTTCCTCGCCGATTAGCACTTCAACACACTTATTTTCATCACAATGAACACTATTATCTTCCCATTTTCACTGAAAATCTTTGAAAAAGCATAAATTTTTAACAAACACAACATAAACAAACATAAACATTGAAATGTGAAGTGAACTTGCGTACGAATGGCCCGCACCTCATTCGCTAGTCGCTAACGCACTCCTAAATAACAACTTCATGGCAAAGCCGGGCTTGTGGCTCAATAGTAATTGCTATATAAACATTTCGTAGTTATATTTCATTATAGAACATTTTGCCACAGGTTAGAAAAGGGAGCGATCGCCTTCTCGAAAGCCCGGTAAAAAGCCCACGCGTGCGAGGGAGAAAACCAATCGCTCAAATCAACTCTCCTTATATGTATGACAGCGGTATTCGTAAGGCTACGAGGTCGAACAGAGTGCGCGGGAAATTTGAAATAGTTTGAAACAGTTTACGAGTAATAAAATAATTATTACTTGATATAATTGATTGATTCATCTTAATGGGGCAAGCCGGGCTTCTGGGCTTGTATAGAGGCTTTGCCACTGTTTGTGAGGTCGGTAGCCTTATATGGTATACCGACTGCTCAAAAATGTACCTCGACGTAGGTATAGTAGGCTTTTGCACAAATTAAAATTCTCGACAAAATTTTCGACCTCGTGCTGAGTAACACAATCTGTGATATTTCCGTTAAAAATCAAAGAGTATAATTTCTCGAACAGACAACTATCATCCCCCAATTGAAGTAGACTTAGTTTTATGTAAAGCAAAAATGCTCTCTCCAAGACAAACTCCTAAATATAAGTTTTTTTTTTTCGAATTATGATAGTATACGAGCCCGTTTATCCGACCTCAACTGGACTTCGGAGTTCCAAAACTGTTCGACTGTTGATGAAGTTGTATCGAGGTTTTACTCTATTATAAAAAAAGTTATCACTGAATTTGTTGGGCTTTTCTCCATGTCGCATATTCAAAACAAAAAATCATATCCTCCATGGTATACAACAAATCTCATAAAACTATTACGAGAAAGGGAAAAATCTCGTCAAAAGTTTAAAAAGTACAGGAATGAATTAGATAAATTTGAATACAATATCTTAAAAGTTAGAATTAAAACATTAATCAAAAAATGTTATGACAGATACATTGAAAATGTTGTTGACATCGTGATTAAAGACCCCAAGTACTTTTGGATTCATATAAAAAATAAACGTAAGAATAATGGTTGTATACCGTCTAATATGAAATTTGGAGACAAAGAAGCTAATAATGGAGAAAAAATTTCCGACCTTTTTGCAGAAAATTTTGAATTAGTATATAAACCTATTGATATTAGTTTACATATAAAGAAAATGGAAATACCAAAGTCTGCTTTTTCCGTGGGGAATCTTTATCTTTTTTTCTTTTCTTTTTTTATCTAAATAACAGTATTGAGTAGTATTGAGAAGTGCTTAAAGGCTCTAGATATTACTAAGGGCGCCGGAAGTGATGGGATTCACCCCTTGTTTCTGAAGGAATGCGCAGTAGAGCTCACGATACCTTTACATATTATTTTTAATAGATCATTATCTGAAGGTATATTTCCGAAACGTTGGAAGAATGCTATAATTATACCATTACATAAATCAGGCGATAAAAGTAATATCTGCAACTACAGACCTATTAGTATTCTTCCAGTTTTAGGTAAAGTTTTTGAATCGTTAATTTGTCCTTATTTGACTTGGCATATAAAACATATTATAGCTGATCAACAATACGGATTTTTTTTAAAACGCTCTACTACATCCAATCTTATTACATTTGTTGACAGAACACTTACTAGAATGAGCTCATGGAATGAAGTAGATTGTATTTATAATGACTTTAGTAAAGCGTTTGACACAGTAAATCATTCAATTCTAATCAACAAACTACACACATTATTTGGCATATATGGATGCTTATTAGATTGGTTTGCTTCATATCTCACAGATCGAACACAAAGAGTAGTCATTAGCGGTTTTGTTTCTAGAGAAATTATCCCAACGTCTGGAGTTCCAGAAGGCTCGCACCTTGGCCCATTACTTTTTATAATGTTTATCGATGATATTAAGCATTGTATCCGTAACTCCGATTTTGAATTATACGCAGATGACCTAAAGATATCCAAAATTGTGAATAATAACACAGACCAAATTCAACTTCAAGAGGATATAGAAAGAATTACAGAATGGTGCCGGCAAAATAAAATGTCTCTCAATACAAATAAATGCTATCACATTAAATTCTCTCGAAAATTTAACAAATATAATAGTAGTTACAATATGAATGGTGTAGATTTAGCGAAAGTAGATGAAGTGAAGGACTTAGGCATTGCTATTGACTCTCAGATGCGATTCACTAACCACATTAACAATATCATACACAAATCGTTAAGAATGTTAGCTTTTATTTTCAGAAACACCAAAGCGTTTTAGCGTTAAAAATTCTCTATTTTGCACTGGTCCGCAATCACGTTGATTATTGTTCAGTCGTATGGTACCCGTCTTATCAAAATAATATTCAGTATAGAAATAATCCAAAAAAGATTTTTAAATAAAATACCTTATGTAAGTGGCGTTCATCGTACAATTCGCAGATACTCTGAAAGACTAGCGCATTTCGAAATTTTATCATTGGAGCAGCGAAAGAATTTGCTATCTATAAGCCTTTTACATAAACTACTTAATAATAAAGTGGATTGTCCATCCCTCCTATCACAAATTAACTTGAAAGTGCCCAGAGTTTCAGCAAGGTTGTGTAATTTTAGTCCCTTTAGTGTAAATTTCAATAGCAAAAATTATGGTAGCAACTCTCCTCTATGTTCTATGATGAGAAAGTACAATGATATATTCGGTAAATGTAATATAGATCTCTTTAGTGATAGTCTGGGTTCCTTAAAGAAGAAAATATTTCTATACTACACTCAAACTGAAAATTAAAACTTTAAATTATACACCTTTAAATTATACAATGTTAAGCTCTCTACCAAATTATAATTTTACCTGTATTGCATAGAATAGTCTTTGTGTTTATATAATATTTTATTATCTGTTAATTTCAAAACTAATTTTAAGTTTCATGTTGAAATGTTGTGCATACCTTTAAGTTAAATACATATATAGTATAATTTTGTTTATAACTGCAAATGTTTAATAATATTGTTTTGTATGTGTTTAGTTGGTAAGCCTAAATAAATAAATACATAAATAAAAATAAAAGAAAAAAATTATCAAACGATGTATAGTCTCCTTATGGAACACCCCCGACGCGTGATACAAATGATTTAATTTCATTACCTCCTTACTCCTAATATAATATAAAGTGAATGGACTTGAACAATATTTTAAAATATTTATTATTTAAGGTACTCACGTTACGTAGAATTATGATATTGTCGGCTGCCTTAAGATGATGTAGCTGATGAGTTACTAGGATGCGTGTGGTGTTCTGTAGGAGGCCGGTGATGCACTCAGACATTAGGTGTTTGCCCACGCGCGTGTCCACGGCCGACAGCGGGTCGTCCAAAAGATATAGATCTGCCTATAAAAAACTTTGAATAAAACAATCCAAATTACAAACCATCAAAATTTAATATATTTTCCTTTATGAGTCTACTGGAAGATATTTCAGTAAATTATGGAATAAGTTGACCTTTTGTACGAACTTACTACAAGGCTGTTTCTGTAATTTGTTGTGTGTACATAAATAAACAAAAAAAAATCGATTGCATCTGCAGGCCACCCCGAACTTCCAGCTAATTTCAAATGCAAAGCGCTCCAAATTTCACCAAAATATGACGTTGAATATGAAATATCGGAGTAATTTAAAAAAACCATTTTTTTCAAAATTTTTCGTTAACGATATCTTACGAACGAATCAACCGATTTTGACCGGACCGGCGGCGACCGATGTGGTCTTTCAATGTTAAAAGCTGATTATTTTTGGAATCGATCGATAAAGCTGTTTAAAAGTTATTCCAAAAAAAGTATTTAAAATTTTTTTCGAGATTTCTCAAAATCTACTGGTCCAAATTAGTTAAAATCTATGGGAAGTTTTTTTTATATAGAAGAGGGTTGCCTTCTCGAGCATACGGTTCACCTATGTTGTGACTACCGCGGCCCATAAAAATCCGCAACAACAGGGGAATCGCAGGTGCGTTATCGGCCCTTTAGAAAGGAGTAAGCTCTTTTCTTGAAGGTCCCTAGGTCGTATCGGTCCGGAAAAATCGCCGGTGGTAAACTATTCCACAGAGAGCTCGTAAGCGGCAGAAAACTCCTTTGACGACTCCCACCGATTCGAGCCGCGCTCTGCACTGCATGCGGTCAAATGGAAGGAGCTGGCACTGGGGAGCCCCATCCCAGAGATGGGAACAGTATTCTATGTGCAACCGAACCTGCCCCTTGTAAAGTTGCAAGCGGTGTGCCGGCATGAAATTCTGTCCCGCTCTGGTGAGCACGCCAAGCTTTTTAGAGGCCAATTGGGCCTCTATGCTTCTTCCTTCCTCTTCCAAGTGACCACGAAACTGCACGTCACTCGATATGTCGACGCCGAGGATTCCGATACTAGCTGAGGCAACAAAGGGAGTGTCTTGAAACTGAGGAGATACGACAAAAGGGTTCTTTTTCATCTATGGGTTAAATTGGACTAGATTTAGTCGCCCCCAATCCGAGACTTTGTTCAATATAAATTCAAATTCAAATATTGGCACGGCCGGTGTACAGAGCATAATCAGTGCTCTCATTCGAATAGCAATGAATGTTGCCGGTTTGCAACATATCATTGAAATTGTAACGCTTCCCCCCCCCCCTCTCATAGTAAAAAAATATATAAAATACTAAATGTATTATAATCCCCTTTTTATTAAAAATTATATATATATGTGACCAAGATTAATATATTATGTTTTGATCTTTTAAATGATCTTTCTAAGGTTTAATAATAGGCCGTTTGTAATATTTTGGCGTCATCATCTTAGTTAGGACCCTTATTTACGTTGTGTTTGTTTAGTAACTTAGTTCTTTTAGGTGTCTTTTGGAAGAATGAATATTCACTAGAGCAATTGAAAGCTGTTGGTAGTGCCTTATAAGCTAAGTGAACCCCGTTCACGAAGACAGGGCTCGAGAAAGGTTAAGACATAAAACGTCTTTATTCCACTTGTATCAGGTTTACATTATTAATTTATTATTAATTATCCCTTCCCGCTCGGAAAAGGCTCAAAATATATTTATACAAAATACCCAATACAAGGGCTTCGCTCCCCTACATTTATTTTAAAAAAAATGTAGGGGAGGTACACGGCCCCACACACGCCGTGCACGGTGAGTGCCAACCATTTTGATGCACTCCCCCCGAAGGGAAAGCTAATTCGGGAACTGGACCGTAGTCCACAGCAAAATAACTGGCGAACCAGTAAAAGAGGCTTGGCCCCTTGCTAGTGCGTAAGCACAAACATCGACCGAAGTCGCGCATGTCAATGCGTGTAAACGCCAAACAGAATACGAACGAATCCAGCCACAGTGAATGTACGTCACACGGTTTAGGCAAATAGGCACACTGGCCGTAAACCCTCCGTGAGCGCCACCACCTGCCAGACCGCCGCTCCTGCAGACGTGATGTAAGTGTATGGCATCACCACCAGTTGCATGATCAGCACGGCTACTAGCCGCAGAGCGCGTCATGAGTCTACCGCTCACCTCTAGGGAATGGGGTCCCACGTTGTGCGGCTTTCGGCCGCAGCCTTGAGAGTCTCCTCAGATCCTCCCGCCAGCTACCACCCGCATGAGGTCGACACATATGCTCCACCAACCAATACAACGGCAGATATAGCCAAAAGGCAGTTATAAGATAAGAGTAATAATTCGCCATCAGAAAGGGTTTGTGTCACTGACGTTGAGTAAATGCATTTTCGATCATGTTTGTCTCACCCACCAACAAGTTGCCTTCAATCATTCAAAGGTGGGAAAGTTACAGAGATATAATATTACGTTGTTATATAAAACATCGTGGAGGGCATACAGTCTGCAGCCCCGCAATGAAGGGACCCGACTTGGGCAAAGCTACTTAGGTGTGAGTCAAAACAAGACGCAGAGAGCGCCATTGAGAATAGCGTCCCACCAAACGACCATCGCAGAGACGCAATGCTGCAGAAAGCAACAAGCATCAATACGACTATCGTCGGGCTTACACCATTCCAAGGTCCCCCATACATCCCAGCAGACATCACCACCCGCATACCTCCATCGACCAGAACCACAAGAGAGCGTCGAATCAGGCGCAGCACACCCGCAGATCCATCACAAGACGCAATACCACAAGTAGTAGTAAGCATCAATGCAACTATCGTACGGATGGAGCCCCCTCACAACACACCCAAATGACTCCTATCGATTTTGGTAACAAAGTTTTTATTGTTGTTATATAAAAAATATCACCAACGTATCATAGTAGCACGCTACTAAGACGCCAATGACCAAAACTCCACGTATCATAGCGCTAATGCACTAAGACATGAAGTTGAGTATGCGTGTTACACTTAAAAGTGCTACCAAACACACTCATCATCCCAATCCGAAAGATAGACGACACATCGCTATGCGCAACGACGTCGACCACAAACGGTATGGGTGTGCGATGTCCACGGAAAAGCCGTATTGCTACAACAAACCCGCTTACCACCGGCACTTAGATGTTAATTGTATACCTCCATCGACCAGAACCACAGGAATGCGTCGAATCAGGCGCAGCACACCCGCAGATCCATCACAAGACGCAATACCGCAAGTGGCAGTAAGCATCAATGCAACTATCATACGGATGGCGCACCCTCACAACACGCCCACATGACCCCTATCGACTTTGGTAACAAAGTTTGTATTGTTGTTATATAAAAAATATCACCAACGTATCATAGTAGCACGCTACTAAGACGCCAATGAACAAAACTCCACGTATCATAGCGCTAATGCACTAAGACATGAAGTTGAGTATGCCTGTTACACTTAAAAGTGCTATCAAACACACTAATCATCCCAATCCGAAAGATAGACGACACATCGCTATGCGCAACGACGTCGCCCACAGACGGTATGGGTGTGCGATGTCCACGGGAAAGCCGTATTGCTACAACAAACCCGCTTACCACCGGCACTTAGATGTTAATTGTATGCCTCCATCGACCAGAACCACAGGAATGCGTCGAATCAGGCGCAGCACACCCGCAGATCCATCACAAGACGCAATACCGCAAGTAGCAGTAAGCATCAATGGAACTATCATACGGGTGGCGCCCCCTCACAACACACCCACATGATCCCTATCGACTTTGGTAACAAAGTTGGTATTGTTGTTATATAAAAAATATCACCAACGTATCATAGTAGCACGCTACTAAGACGCCAATGAACAAAACTCCACGTATCATAGCGCTAATGCACTAAGACATGAAGTTGAGTATGCCTGTTACACTTAAAAGTGCTACCAAACACACTCTTCATCCCCATCCGAAAGATAGACGACACATCGCTATGCGCAACGACGTCGCCCAGAACGGTATGGGTGTGCGATGTCCACGGGAAAGCCGTATTGCTACAACAAACCCGCTTACCACCGGCACTAAGATTGTTGTTATATAAAACTGCACCAACGTATCATAGTAGCACGCTACTAAGACGCCAGTGGACAAAACTCCATGTATCATAGCGCTAATGCACTAAGACATGAAGTTTAGTATGCCTGTTACACTTAAAAGTGCTACCAAACACACTCATCTTCCTAATCCGAAAGATAGACGACGCATCGCTATGCACTACGACGCCGCCCACAACCGGTATGGGTGTGCGATGTCCACGGGAAAGTCGTATTGCTACAACAAACCCGCTTACCACCGGCACTAAGATGATATGTCTAGGACACATCGGTTAGCGAGTCCAAGTTTACCTCGGACCAATTGCTCGTGAAGCAGCACACACGCCACCATAATATTCCTTTTCAAGTCCCTAATAAGGACTAGTCATTTTGCTACAGTACTAGGAGCAGTCGGTCACCCGACCACCCCATACAATGCTTATGCATCAAGGAGACCTTCAATAATAATGCTTTTGTATCATAGACCTTACTTTCATAAGTCATTCATATATAGGGTTCGAACCCACAACCCTACTATTGTAATGCATATTAATCATAGAGACCTTCTATAGTATTGCTTTTGTATCATAGACCTTACTTTCATAAGTCATTAATATATAGGGTTCGAACCCACGACCCTACTATTGTAATACAAATTCATCATGGAGACCTTCTATAGTATTGCTTTTGTATCATTGAGTTTAATATCATAAGTCCCTAATATAGGACTAGTCATTGTGCTACAGTACTTCAGGCAGTCGGGCTCCCGACCACCCCATATATATGTACAACTGCAGGTATGTACCTCCGACAGCTTCCTCCATACAAGACATCTATACGTGAACACCTTCCATAACTTAGGAAAATTTTCTTTAATACATGAACTCCTTCAACAACTTAGGAAATTTCATCTATACGTGAACTCCTTCCACAACTTAGAAAAATTTTCTTTTATACACGAACACCTCCCATGACTTAAACAATTTTTAACAAATTTTCTAATTATCTTATAAACGTTATTTAACTTAATTTTATAATATTTTTTGACTTGTATTTCTATTATTTATCTTATTTTAAATATTTTTTTCAAGTTTTTAAATAAATTTATTTAATACGAAAAACAATAATTTTGCCTTTAATTTACTATGTTATTGGGATAATGTCTGAAATATATTAACTTTATGTTTATTAATTTAACTTAATTGCTTAATATATATCTGTTAAGACTATTTTTGACGCCCCTTTATATTGAATTTAATTATTAATAATAATATTGGGCCGTCACAATATGCAGAAGAAATAGCGTTGGTGATAGCACGCAGCCTTGTGGAACACCAGCATAAATAGGCTTGTAATCAGAGCTTGCACCGTCTACAACGACCCTGATGCTCCGATCTGCAAGAAAACTGGTGATTCAATTGCACAATTTTTCGGGAAGCCCATAGGAAGGGAGCTTCGAAAGAAGCGCTTTGTGCCAAACCCGATCGTAGGCCTTCGCAATGTCTAAACTAACGGCCAGTGCTTTCCCCTTGGACTCTACTGCCTACCCGCCCATCTATAAGTCAGGTAGACCAGAAGATCACCAGCTGATCGACCACGACGAAAACCGTATTGGCAATCACTAATCAGCTGGTGATCTTCAAGGTCAATCCTCACGAGCCTGTAGTTGGACGGGTCTGAGGTGTCGCCTTTTTTAGAAATCGGGTGGACGAAAGCCGTCTTCCATGATTTTGGGACTACGCCTAGGGAGCAGGAGTACCGGAAAAGACGCGTTAAAACCGGTGCCAACATTGGAGCACACGTCTTCAGCAAGTTGGGGGATTCCTTCAGGTCCACTCGACTTGTGGACGCCCAGGGAGAGGAGTGCTTCGCGAACCGAGCGCTGCGTAAACCGCACCTCCGGCATGAATCACTCACACCGCGGGATGGTCGGCGGCGTACTCCCTCGTCATCGAGAGTCGAGTTGGATGCAAAGAAAGAGCCTTTCAGAGAGCCCAGTAGATCGGCTTCCTCCTTTGTGGCATGGGCCAGTGAGTCGTCCTCCCTGAGCAGAAATGGAAGAGATGACTGACAGAAATTCCCCTGGACAGCCTTGGCGAGAGACCAGATTTTTTGATGTGTCAGCCCAGGCCTGATAACACTCCTGCTTACAGCATGATGCTATTTTACAGGAGTGACCAAACCATGGCTGAGATTTGCTTCCGATCGGCACCACAGAAGAAAGAATAAAAAGTTCCATACCTCGAAGTACCACATCAGCGACAGAATCCGCAACAACGTTGGGATCCTCCGGCGAGAAGCAAACCCGCCCCCAAGGGTAGGATGCAAAGGAAGACCGCATCCTATACTAATCGGCTGACCTGTAGTGCCAAACACGGCGGCAGCCTGCAGAATGCAACCGCGATTTCAGCGTGAGTAGCATCACACTCCTGACAAGACAATGGTCCGAGGAGCCTAAAGGGGCGTCGACGGAAATCTGATACCCGTCCAGATGAGAGGTCAGCCAGAAGGACCAACAGCGAAGGTTACTTCACTTACCCGGATTCCAGATGTGGAGGACATCTGGAATCCGAGTAAGTGAAGTAACCAGTTGTGTCAGACCATATTCCAAGACAAAATCATGAACAGATCTCCCCGGATGATTGGTTGAACGTGAACCAAGCCATTCGGCGTGGTGGGCGTTAAAATCGCCGAGGATCACTATCTCTGCGGAGAGGATCTGCTGTAGTAATGAATCTGTAGCTATTTGGACGTGGTCGAAGAATCGGTCTGTTTCGGCATTACCGCTATGGGAACTATAGAGGCACCCGTAGACGCGCGGATGGTCATCGCTGTCTACGCGTAGCCAAAGGATGGACAGGTCCGAACCTTTAAGACTGACGAGGCGTCGAGAACAGATGTCCTCTCAGACGTATACGCAAATTCCGGCCCGAGGCACAAAGGAGTGTTTCAGTTTGTATCCCAGGTAAGAGAGATACGAAGCATCAGCCGCGAGCAGTTGTTGTCTTGAGCGGAATCCCTCCCGCCCCCCAGAATACGCGGAGCAGCCTAAGCACCCAGCAAACACTCAAGAGTGGAGTAACTTGGTCGTGGATGCTCAGCGAGGGATTCTCTAAGTGTTGGTACTCTCCTGGGGTAGATCTTCACTTAATTCCGTACCATGTTAAGGGGGGGGTGGGGGATTGACACACACACACACACACACACACACACACACACACACACTACACACACACACACACACACACACACACACACACACGGCACGCACCCCGCACGCACACGCACCCACGCACCCACGCACACACGCACACAAACACACACTCGCACGCACGCGTGCACCCACGCACCCACGCACCCACACACGCACCCACGCACACACGCACACACGCACCCACGCATACACGCACCAACGCACACACGCAACCACGCACCCACGCACACACGCATACACGCACGCATACACGCACACACACACGCGCGCGCTCACGCGCGCACGCACTCACGCACACAAGCACTGGCTTAACTAGACTGCACAAGACTCAATACAAGACTCATGACTGGACACTATTACGTGGTAAAGTCACACTACAGCTACGAGTATATTATAGCTACAAGACTCAGCTGGACACTATTACATGGTGAAGTCACGCTGCAGCTATATTATGGCCACAATACTCAGCTGGACACTATAACGTGGTAAAATCACGCTGCAGCTATATTATAGCCACAAGACTCAGCTGGAAAATATTAGGTGGTAAAGTCACGCTGTAGCTATATTATAGTTGTAGCACGAACGGTTCGGCACGACCGGGGTATAGGACCACGCTCTCACAGAATACCAGCGTAAAATAGGAGGTTAATGCTGCAGTGTTTCGTATGGTGAGTGTAGAAAACCGAAGACCCCTTTTACTGGAACCAAGGCATTCTATTTTAGTCATCAGGGGTGAAAACGCATCTGCATTTTGATTCTTAATCGAGAACGAGGATAGATGTAGATGTCTATGGACCACTTAATTGTTAAACTTGGCACCTATTTAGCACCTAAAAACTCCTAATTTTGGCTTTTTCTGAATGCGAATTCCTGACTTTGCGTTGCTGGCACGACACAACGCACAGCATCCACTTGTCATCGGGTGGACTTATTTGCTTGTTTGTTATCCTTATTCTGTAAAAAAAAACTAAATAGGTGTCAATAAATGCATGTAAATATACAGATATATATGAATTTACTTACAGATATCATAATATATTTTGTTACATATAATGTGTATGTATTTTAGTTTTTCTTTTTTTTCAATTGCTAAACCTACGTCAAATTCTTACCACTCCATGGGTTGACTATCACTCATTTAGCACAATTAACTCTCTCCAGAATTCGCAGGAAGAAATGGCTCAGGGCCATGCATTGTGCCTATGTTCAGCAGTGGACTTGTGAAGGGCTGTAATGGTGATAATGATGATGATGATTTTATTGGTTTTTATAATTAAGTCTGCTTTAAACATACCTGTCTGTAGCAAGCTCGGGCTAGACCAATACGGGCGCGTTGCCCTCCGCTCAAACTGATGCCTCGTTCACCCACCAATGTTGCGTCGCCAGCCGGCAGCAACTCAAAATCACGAAGTAATGCACATGCTGATACCACCTATTGACAATTGCACATCACCTATCAACTTACAATAATAGTTATATAAATTGATAATAACATAAAAATATAAAAAGTTTAAACATACGAGTACATAAAGTTGCAGCCTATATATGCGTCCCACTGCTGGGCACAGACCTTTTAATTCTGAGAAGATTTTAGGACAAAGAAATATCCGCCACGCTGCCCTAAAGCGTGTTGGCGAACTTCACATGTCTTATTTTTCACACATGCAGTTGCTTCACGATGTATTCCTTCACTGCCGATCACGTGGTAAATCAGCACTTAAAATTGCAATTAACAATTTCATTGGTGCTGGCGGGGATCGAACCCGGGTTGCTCGAGTACTATGAAATTTAAAGCGAGCGTTAAGCCTCTGAGCTATCACGGCTATTACAGAATGATAAAATTATTTGACATATCATTTATCAAGCTAATTGCAATACTTATTTTTTGGTAGAGCCACGCGGCAGCTTTTGCTGTCGTACGAATGTGCCGGCTCAAACCGGAGTGGTACCACGACCTCACAGAATACCAGCGTGAAGTGGAGATTTACCTCTGCGTTCACGTGGGTACCAGCACTCCTGTTGAGGAAGTATCCCTAGCTGAGTAACCACGACCAAGTTATCCTCCTCTTCCTGTGCGTATCCGAGCAACAACTCTGAATTTTTGCAACATTCTTCATTCCAACCTTAACGCTGTCCAATACCATCTGGAGACGGCGAAGCTGGCCTTGCTCTTTTTAACCGAGACTCAGGTGTCCTCCCCAGCTCATACTTCATATCTTCCCTACCCAGGGTACAAATTAGAACATTCCTTTGTGCTCCGGGTCGGAGTTTGCGTATATGTCAGAGAGGACTTCTGTTTTCGACGCCTCGGCAGTCTTGAAAGTATCGACCTGTCCATCCTATGGCTGCGCGTAGACAGCGACGACCATCCCCGCGTCTACGGGTGCCTCTATAGGTACCATAGCGCTAATACTGAAACAGGTACCGACTCACCGACCACGTCCAAATGGCTACAGATTCAGTGCTACAGCAGATACCATCCGCAGAGATCGTGATCTTTGGCGATTTTAACCGATCATGCGGGGAGATCTGTTTATGATTTTGCTTTGGCATCTGGTCTGACACAACTGGTAACTTCGCCTACGCGGATTCCAGATGTGGAAGATAATACACCTTCCCTGTTGGACCTTCTGTTGACCTCTCATCCGGACGGATATCAGGTTTCCGTCGACGTCCCTCTAGTCTCGTCGGACCATTGTCTTGTCCGGAGTGTGGTACCAGTCACATTAACGTCGCGGTTGCATTCTGCAGGCTGCCGCCATCGATCACTAATAAAAAACTAGATACACAATCAGTGACAGAAAACGACCTCACCAAATGAGCACCCATTCGAACATTTGGGTGCGCTTTTAATCTAGTTACATTCGAACACTCCGACGGTAAACATGCCTCAGTGGTCGTTTAAAAAGTGTAAAAATCACACATCCAGGACGCTAAAAAAGGATGGAATTTCCTAATTTCGGTACTTATTAATATTATCATTATTTAATTGTTATCACTGTACGGTAAATACTTATATTTTGTCAAGAAATCTCCGTAAAACATTTTTTAAATTAAGTCTTAATAAAATAAGTCATAATTGTTCGTTGACTCTGTTCCATTTGTTGGAGACGTTATTATTTTTTTATTATTAAAGTATGATTATTATTTTTTGTTTAATGAGACTTCTTTATACTCGTAGTTTCTCCAAATATTATAGTAACATATTAAAGATTTAATTCTGAATATGTGCAATAGTAGAAACTGATTTTGTATGTAGTAAAATTAAAGATGTGAGATTTTATTTTTAATTTTTCTCTAATTTTTTAAACTTTCCTCGAAATCCAGTTAGGTGCAGAATGGATATCGTCTCAGTAGTCATAGCATCTCAAAGGTTCGAAGAATTCTTCAAGCCGACCCAAGGAAGCGTTGTATGTTCGAAGCATGTTTTAGAAAGTGATGAATATGTAACTACGACTTACAACTTTCTGTACATACTTTTTATATTTAGTAACTATTGAATTTAGATTTAAGTTCTTTATCAAGCAATATTTTTAAATTTTTGACACAAGTTGAAGAATAAATAAATAATTATGACTGTTTCAAGTACTTTCGTTATTAAATGAATGTGGTGTCCTATCCAAAATCGTATTTACATTCAGGTAAATTATAAACATTACACATAATACATCATAGAATAGAAATAGAATATGCTTTATGTACACCAGTTTTTAAAACAAGTTTGAAACATTTTAAAATTAAAATAACGGTAACAAAAAATATTGGGCAGCAGTTCGACTCTAATGATTCCTTGTCTAAACTACGAGCTTCGGTCGTAAAATTTGATTCCTTTTTTACTAGCACTTTGTAATTCTGACTTTAAAACATGCGTGTAATGTTGAATTTGTTTTGATATAGGTTGACCAGTATCAGTCATAAAAATTTATTGCTTTTCGTACGTATCTTTGTGAATACAACTATGGGCAAAGTATTTAAGGTTGAATTTACATAAATGTATATTTATTTCAACTAGAGTTACGTCACAACAATTGGGAACAGTTTTTAGAGAACTTTTGTATGGGATTGTGCATCTAGTTCTTTATTAGTGATCGATGGCTGCCGCCTTGTTTGGCACTATAAGTCGGCCGATTGGGATAGGATGCGGTCTTTTTTCGCATCCTACCCTTGGGGGTGGGTTTGCTTCTTGCCTGACAATCCCAGCTTTGTTGCTGATACTGTCGCTGATGTGGTACTTCAGGGTATGAAACTTTTTATTCCGTCTTACGTAGTGCCCGTCGGAGGCAGATTCCCAGCCATGGTTTGGTCGCTCCTGTAAAACGGCATCACGCTATAAACAGGAGTGCTACCGGGCCTGAGCTGACGCATTAACGTCCCGGGATGTAAACACCAGCGCCCTAAAAAAGAAGTATAACTCCGCCTCCAGGTCCTTCAAAAGATTCATTGCCAAGGCAATGAGCACATCGGAAGAATTGGCGAGAAGCTAGTTCGCCTTCCTTCGGGAACCCATGCATTTTGTTCTCTCGCCGAGGCTGTCCAAGGGAACTTCTGTGAATTATTTCTTCCAACTCTGCACAAAGAGGACGATTCACTGGCCATGCCGCAAAGGAAAAAGCGGATCTGTTAGGCTCTCTCTTTGCATCCAACTCGACTCCCGATGACGGGGGGAACACACCGCTGACCATCCCGCAGCGTGAGTGCCCCATGCCGGATGTGCGGTTTACACAGCGCTCGGTTCGCAAAGCACTCCTCTCTCTGGACGTCAGCAAGTCGAGTGGGCCTGGTGGAGTCCCTCCCATTGTGCTAAAGATGTGTGCTCCGGAATTAGCACCGGTTCTAACGTATCTTTTCCGGTACTCTTACTCCCAGGCGTAGTCAAGAGCCAAGTTCTTGGAAGACAGCTTTGATCCACCCGATCCCTAAAAAAGCGACCGCTCAGACCCGTTCAACTACAGGCCTATCGCCATCACCTCCTTGATCTCCAAAATAATGGAGTCCATTGTAAACTGCCAGCTCATGAGGTACCTTGAGGATCACCAGCTGATTAGTGACCTCCAATACAGTTTCCGCCATGGTCGATCAGCTGGTGATCTTTTGGTCTACCAGACTCATAGTTGAGCGGAGGCAGCAGAGTCCAAGCGGGAGGCATTAGCCGTTAGTTTGGACATAGCGAAGGCCTTCAATCGGGTCTGGCACAAAGCGCTTCTTTCGAAGCTCCCTTCCTATTATGGGCTTCCCGAGAAATTGAGCGATTGGATCACTGGTTTTCTTGCTAATCGGAGAATCACGGTCGTAGTATACGGTGCATGCTCTGATTACAAGCCTATTAACGTCGCCAAGTACCGGGAACATACATGTGTCTGAAGTCGAGTCTTTGCTGAACAAAGTGTCGGATTGGGGGCGACAAAATCTAGTCCAATTCAATCCCTAGAAGACACAAGTTTGCGCTTTAACCGCTAAAAAGAACACCTTTGTCAAGTGACATAGTGATGCGCGTGCTCCAAGTGAGACAGTATTTCATGTCGGCACACCGCTTGCAACTTTACAAAGCGCAAGTATGTCCTCACATGGAATACTGTTCTCATCTATGGGCCGGGGCACCCCAGTGCCAGCTCCTTCCATTTGACCGCATACAGCACAGAGCGACTAGAATCACCGGCTCGATTCACTGGCGCTGCGTAGGGATGGTGCATCCCTTTGCGTTTTCTATCGTATCTACCACGGGGAATGTTTTGAGTAACTGTTTGGATTAGTTCCAGCCGCCAGTTGTCACGAACGCACATCGCGTCAAAATTAACGATGGTAAGGATGGTCGTTATCATCTGGATGCTTGGCGGTCCACTACTGTGCGTTTTACTAGGAATTTTCTTCCCCGTATAACTTCTGGTGTTACGGTTGTTCATAGGCGGCGGTAGTCATTTACCATCAGGTGAGCCGCATGCTCGTTTGCCCCCTCTTCTATAAAAAAAAACTTTTTATGGAAGAATTATTGTAGGAAATGTAAAGTAAATCTAAAGAAAATAATATTTATAGTTTGTAATTTAAAACTATCAAATTATTCTTTGTAGCTTAGTAATAAACTAAGAATATGTATTTAGCAGGAAGGACATAAAATAAAAGTGGGCGGTAATTAACTTAAAATCAACATCTTTACCCACTCCCAGCCTCAGCCTGCCTATTCAATACAAATGTCGTTATTACCTTTTTGTAACGCATGCGATCGTAGGGCAGTCCAAATAGAATATTCTGACGCACGGTAGCAACGAACAGCCACGGCTCCTGGCTGGCGTACGATATTCGCGCACCGCCTAAAGAGACGGTCCCGTGCGATGGTTCTAACTCACCCAGAATCAGTTGCAATAGGCTTGACTGCAAAAAAAGAATTAAATTCAACTGTAGGTGTTAACACTATTCTTTCGCTAATTATGCACTTTAAAAAAAAATTCCTTGTCTTTTATATTCAGAAATGTTCTGGTTGCGCGGAAAACCATTCGTATTTATTTATTTGACGGTAGGCTTGCCAAATCGTTTATCCCTTTCAAAACGATATCATTCATACCGTCCTATCGACACATCGGGGTGGTGGGGTGGGAGGGGAAAGAAGATGATTCTAGAATATTACGCAATCATCGCAACCGAAGGAATAAAAAGGCACGCGCGGCCGACGCGCGCCCTCTTCCCGCCGCGCTCGTCGTTGGAACCACACCGCTTAAGACAATAGTGTAATAGAAGGGCTATTGCCCACGCGCACCGCTAGTATAACCGCTTAGCCTGAAGCAGTCAAGCTCCAGGAAACCCGCTTCACCTCGTGTGAGAAATAGTCGCGCACCGCACTCTCTCCCAACGCATCACCGGACAAGAAAGGCTGGGGCCCCAGAGAGTCTACCCAGAGTGTCTTCCAGAAGTCGCAACAATTTAGTGCCCAAGCCGCATAGAAGCAACACCCCGGTGAGTGAACATTCCTAATAGTTCCTGCTTGATATAATTGTGTTTAATAGTTAATCCGCTCCAATTTTATTTTCTCCTAACCAACCAGGATTCCTTTCATAGATTTGGCAAATAATAGTTCGTTTTAGGGAAGAGCGAGTGCATTGTATGGGAAACCGCATGCTATAGTCGCCATTTTATGTAAACGTAGAAGCATTCGTTTAGTCTTTATTCTCATAAAGCCAACCTTTCCTGATCCAACAAGTCCGGCGACACCTACAAACTCTCCGGGTTTTACATTCAACGTTATATTTCTCAAAGTCTCTACAATAGGGTTCTGCGACCAACTGGCACTAATGTTGGTCAGTGTCAACCCTGTTGGATTTGGTTTGTCCTTCTCCGATTGTTTTTCTTTATCCATGCCATTAATAAGGTTTTTATAATTTAGATGATGAAGCTCCTTAGCTTTATGTGATTTTAGTTCATCCAACGAGAGGAATTCCTGTAAAAAGAATGAATAAAATTATAATATCTATTGATCGTTTGTAAAAGAATTTAATTTATACACGGTTGTCAAAAATACCTCCAATCTTCGCACGGAAACCCTGGATTCCGCCAAAAATACTAGACCCAGAGGGAAACATATATTGCAGGTAAACTGCAAAAGATTAAAGTATTGCACTAGAGAAAAAGTTATTTCGGCTCGTATATTACCGCCCATCAGGACAAATGTTACGACTGCTGCGTATAGGATGAAACGCTCCGTGAACACACTCAGTGCAGTCGAGAATCCTTTAATAAAAGAAGTCTTCAATATGTATTTCACTTCCAATCTGTTGACAAACAATAATATATTATTTCATGTGTAACCAGCTGACTTAGCAGATGTTGTTCTGCCTTTTTCGGTAGCGCACGATTAGCTTTACTCTGAATTCACCACAGACTTATAAAATTTATTAATAGCTCGACCACAGCGCCACCTATCCGGTCCAAGCTTTGTGATTTTACAATATTGACGATTACAATACGAGGGGATACTGATTTGAAGACTTGTTGTTGGTCGTGGTATTCGATCTCTAGTAGAATAAAGAAAATGGAAGTTATCTTTACGATAGATTTGAGTAATAGAACATGAAGTCCCTTCAAGGGTGCATAATATAATGACTAAGTAACTTTCTTAGAACTTTACTAACTTTTTTTATGATTGTTTTCAAAAAAGTTCCATCCATCAAATAAATATCTGATTGGCGCCTAGTTATTAGATTTACATAACAATTATAATATATAACAATATTCGTTTCGATTTATGATACTGTACATGAGTCAGCCATTGTCGATAGCGGAAGCCCTTGATGTATGTGACCCTAAGTTATTGTATGTCAAAGATAGAGGGTAGAAGATAAAAAGAAGAATTGAAGTGAGAGAAAAAGATCTGAAACCTATTAAGTAATAAGTGGGTTATTAGAGAAGTATAAATTACGACACACTCGACGTGTGGTGTTATTCGGTCTAAGTAATCAGTAATTTAATTGGACTTCTTGTGTATAGTGATTATGTTTATTGTATTCTGCGATGAAGCCAACCAATGTACAACGTCATAAGCAGTGTTGCTGTGGGTTTGCATACTTACTCTATTAAATGTTTATTTCCACAAAACCAATGAATTGTTCAAGCGTTGAATTAGTGAAACTTTCTTCATAGTAGTTTAAATGAATAAAGACAAAATAGAGCAAAACTTTTTTGTCGTACTACTTCGCAGAGAATTAAGGAGGAGTAGGGATGGGTGAGACAGTAGATTGCACTCTTAATACAATAAAGTGTGGCGATATATAGTTGTTGAGTTTTAAAATAATAACCTTACTTTTTGGTGTTTAAATTTTTCAATCGGGAACTTCGTAGAGATTAGAAAGGGGAGTGGGGGCGGAAAATTATCCCGTTAACCTTCCCTGAAATGTGTAATATGTAAAAAGAAAAGTGAGGTTATGATTTTACAAAAAAATATAACTTATAATCATAACTGTAAAACTACATACATATATCTTCGCGTGGCGGGTAGGAAGATAAAATAATGGTAAGCATGATGGAGTGACTGTGATAGTTCCACTTACCATACTTACATAATTGAGTCGCGAGCGGACCGCAAGCTCAATGTTACGAAGCGTGGGTAGATGTGGTAAAGTCCAAATAATTTATATATAACTAGCAATCCGCCCCGGCTTTGCACGGGTGGTTTCTGGAACTCGACAACGGCGCCACCTACCGGATCCAATTGAATTTTAAACCATCCAGGAACCCACTCAAATACACAAAAAAATTCATCAAAATAGGTCTAGCAAATTTCGAGTTTTTGCGAGACTAACCGACAGCAATTGACTTTTATATAGAGAAAACATTATATAATGACTTTATAATAAAACTCATCAGGTAATGTGTGTTCCACAATCTTATATAAGTGGTTCAACTCTAAAAAGAAACCTTTCAACAATTATCTTACTGCACATACCTTCTCAGTTTATCCACCAATTTCTCAAAGGGTTTCTCCCAAGCGTACATCTTTATGACTTGGACTCCATTCACGAGTTCGCTCATCACTTTAACTCTTTCATCAGTTCGTTTAGCAATTTTCCCTCTCAATTTACCTTGAAGGCTACTTAAGTATGCTAAAATAGTTAAATAATCCTGATTAAGATACTATTTTAAATATATCAAGATTTTAAATAAGATTCGTATTCAATCCACACAAGCTAAAAACTTTAAGGTAAAGGATTTGATATACAATCGCCATCATCATTACATCTCATAATAGACTCACTGCTAAATATAGACATCCCCAAGGAATGCTACAAAGCACTGTCATGAGCCTTCATACTCGTGGTTATCACTCTATAAATGGGGACCGCTTTAGACTTCGTTTAGAAGAGAGTTTATTCGTTTAGAGAACCTTTCTTATTCATCGGTGGTCGGTTTTTCGTGCCGTCCCATTCCCTTTGCAGCTTACTGATCCGTTGGAAGATGTTGGTTACTCTGTTTTTACTGCTGATATCCCTTATTTTAGGATATCAATTCTATCATGCAGAGAAACTCCAACCGTCCCCATAACTCGCTGAGCGTCCTTGAGCTTTCTCTTAACAGAGAAGGACAAAATCTTGGACCTGTATGTCATTACTGACAACACACACTGGTTGTACACTATTTTCAAGTTAAGTGGTAGGTATAACTGAAGTGAATATGTGTCGTGTCACCGAATGGTACCCAGTCGAGTTAGATCCGTCTATTGATTTCTCGGTCTAAGTTTGACTTACCTAGTCGGACAAATTGTCCAACGGAACCAAAGGCTTTGACATAGTCGACATACGTAAAATAAAGTGGCCAACTGTACTCTTTGGTCTTCTGTACAATTAGCGGAATAGTATATACTTGGTCTATGGTACTAAAGCCTTTTCGGAAACCAGTTTGTTCGAGAGGCTGAAAGTCGTCGAGTCTGCGTGCGAGAATAGAATAGAATAGTTTTTCTTCATTATTGATTAACATGTAATTCTTATTGTTATTTTTTTATTTTACAACTGGTTTGGAAATAAAGCTCTGTCCTGGGAAGAAATAGCAAGAAACTTAGTGGGAGTCTTTTTTTTAAAACATAGGTTACAATATAATATTTATAAAAGTGTTACACATGAAACAGCATGGTAGCGATCACCTCATTCCCAGGGGTTATTATCAATCATGTACTTTTTAGTAGTATAATTACCCTTACAAAACAATTTTTGGTTAACAAATATTTTAAACCTTTTGACAAATAAGGTCTACACATTTTCTGGGACTTTGTTGTAGAAGCGTATACATTGTCCCATGAAAGAATTACTGATTTTGGACAAAGCACACTCGTATTCACCTGCTTAATATTAGGTGTGGTGAATTTAATATATTTCATTTTATTACCGTTTAAAAGCAAATTATGACGTTAAACCAGTGTACTATTTTTGATATAGCATTATTTACTTCGTCATACTATAATAATTGCCGTTTAAGTCGGAACATTAACGAAGTATCATCAGCAAATAAAACTATATCATGGTTATTCCTACCATGTAAGATAAGTCATTAATACTGGGTGTCTAGTGACAGATTTATATTTTCAAAAATTAATAAAAAATTACTATCGACATATCGTTTAATTAAAAGTAAAGGTAGGTAGTGTAAAAGTGCGGATTTAATTTTTTAAAGATTACATCATCCAGATGTCTTCCTTCGAGTTGCACGCAATGTTTAAAACGGAGCCTCGTGTTTGCGCCACACGCTGCAGTAAGTTCGGTTCTGATTGTTAGTGTATTCTCTCTCTTTGAGGTAGTCCCTTAAAAAGAAATCCATTGGGGGTCAAGTCGAGCGATTTCGGTGGCCACAGGATGTCTCCATAGCGACTAATCAGTTTGTGAGGGAAAGCTTCTCGAAGCAAATTCATCGAAGCTCCGGCCGTGTGTGCGGTCGCACCATCTGTTGGAACCACGTGTGTTATGAGAACGAAGGATGAGCTAGCAGGTTCGGCAAATAGAATTCCGTAATCATATGTCCATAATTCTCACTATTGACATTAGTCGCCTGGCCCCGGGCATTATCAAAAATAAAAGGTCCAATTATCCCATTCGTTTCAACAAACAGTTACCCTGGGGCAGTGTAACGGTTTTTGGTGTTTCAGTCAGAGGGTTACAGGTTCTTGGAGTCCAGTAACGGTTATTTTACATGTTAACGTGCCTGTTTAAATGGAAATGAGGCCTGTGGGCGACGCAGCATTATGTTAAGTTTTATTATTTATTTTTTTTTATGTTTGTATTTTTAATTATAAGTTTATTTATATTTTAATTGCCTTAATATTTATGTAGACAAAATTTATTTTGTTTTGAATATGGCAATGTATTGTTTACGGCAATGTAATGTAACGGCTGCGCGACTGGTATAAGAATTCAAATTTTTGGGAGGTAAAAAACCGTGCGCGCGTTCTCTTAACAAGTTTGAAGATTTCTTGTTATCCGATTATTTTTGTGTATTTAAACAAATAAACGGAGCTTGTGAACAAACTCAGCATTATTTCCCTGCGAGTTCACCCAGAAAGTCACAAAGCTTTGGTCTTCGAGCCGAATCCGAATCAATGTTCCGCAGCCCCATAGCAACTATGGTGAACACACGCGGTGCCTGCAAGAAGATAGAACAAGAGCGGTAGAAAGAATGCCAGCTACTATTGGAAAAGCTGTTGGAAGTGTAATGAATTCGGAGTCGGTATATTTAGAAAGGGTAGTGAGCTTCCGCTTATCAGGGATCTGTACCGGCATCGTCTACATTCTCAGCTTAACGAGCAAGAAGAAAAAAGCTAGAGCTCTAAGCAGCAGAAGCAAAAGCGCGCATACAGATGGAACTTGTGGCCGAGGTAGGAAAAGGGGAGATCTCCCGCCGGGCAAGGTGTTGTGCCTGGGGAGCGGCCAACGCTTCGTGCGATAGTTCGGAGATGTTCTATATATACTGTTTTATGATTCGGAATTTTGATAGCGTGATTTAGGCTTCGATGTGTTTCGCTTGCGACGGGACGATAGCGCCGTCACATCACCCCGCTGCTCAGACCGAAGGTCGATAGTGCAGCCTCGTTGCCGACGAATGTGCAAGTGCCAGGAGATTGCCTTGTAGTCTGCGGTGAGTGGAGAATAAGGCAAGTAATCTGCGAGAGTGCCGAGAAGCAGAGGCGAGCAGTAAGGCTCAGAGCCGTGTCGAACACTGTATAGCGCAGAGAGTAGCTTGAAGGAACAGGAAGCATTATTATTCCAGTGCTGCGATGAACCTTGTGAAGCTAGATGGCTTGCATTATATGAAGAACTGCAGACGACATCTGCTCGGGAGCGAATGGGTGGGGTATTCTATGACGATGATGAAACTTGAAGTTTCCGAAGATTGTTGTTTGCGTTGCGTGTTCAGATCACGTCGGGGTCACCACTGTGGCCGAGGTACGAAAAGTGGAGATCTCCCGCCGGGCAAGGTGTTCTACCCGGGGAGCGGCCAACGTTCCGTGCGATAGTTCGGAGATGTTCTATATATACTGTTTTATGATGCGGAATTTTGATAGCGTGATTTGGGCTTCAGTGTGTTTCGCTTGCGGCGCGACTACAGCGCCGCCGCAAACTCATTGACAAAAGGTAAGCTGCGGATATAGCAGATTTAGAAGAGGAATACAGTCCGCCATCGGAGAAACAGTGTACAGATAAGGTTGAGATGTGGCTGTAACGCAATCAACGTGAGCTGGATCTGCAGCAGTGTAGCAGTGCAGCGGTTTCCACCAGTGACAGAGAACGCCGGTACCGAGAGAACAGTTCAGATGTTGGAAAATGCATTGAGGGGACTTAGCCGCTTCTTCGTCTAAAGGACCAGATGCCAACCTGCTTAGCCGTTTAAGTACACCGAGAGATTTACCCGTATTTTCTGGTGAATGGAGTGGCTGCACTTTAGGCAGGTATATGAGGAGTCCACCGAGGTATGTGGTTTTAATTCTAAGGAAAATCTATGGCGATTAAGGAAGTGCCTTCACGGGACCGCAAAGGAGGCTGTCTCAGGGCTGCGAGTAAGGTTTACAATTAAGTCGCCTGAATTAGGGTGTGGGGGTGAGGAGGGGGAGGAGTTGTAGAGTCCCCCCTACTTCCCGCCTGCCGGACATGTTTAGTTTTTTTTTTATAAATCTTACAATCTCATTTTGAGGTTGTTTCGTAATTTTTTGATAATTTTATCCAGATGGGAAGAGAGTTGGGAGACGGAAGTCCCACGCTACTCGACATGGTTCAGTCGAGGAAAGCCCGGTCGACGGAGCCCCGCTTTACGGGGCTCCTACTTCTGGGTGGTTCATAAAAAAATAACCACGAAGGGGGATGGCGGAGTGTATTCGCTCGCTTCGCTCGCTTACTCAACCCCATCATCCCCTTCTAACCTAACCTGTCCGAGTCGGCGTGCCCCACGTCCCATGCTCGCTTCGCTCGCTATTGCACTTAATATAACGCCAAAATATTAACTTTTATAACTACTTCAATTTATAAACATAATTACTGGCTGCCACCATTTATATGAAAGGATCTTCGCGATATTTAGCAGTATTCCGCCGCCACAAATATTCCACAATGGCATCACCAAATTTCTGAAACTCGGAAGCAACAGAATGACGTAAAGTATGTTTGTCACCATCAAAGAAATGTCCGGCCCACCGATTCATTTTACACATTTTTAAATCCATTCAAATCAAAATCAGATGAATCGATTCACAAAAAATCGAAGTCTTAAAGATCGATTTCTCAGAAATCGATCTTTTTTTTGCGTTAAGAGTTTACTACTTACAATATCAAAGTGCAGATAACAAACGTAACTTTTTTTTTCTTTAATCTATTACGAATAGGCGAAAAAACTAAGCACACAGCAGTTTTGCGAGTTTTTGAATAGAAAAGACTGTCATTCTTTACGAGTTTGAGTACACAATACTAATTGTAAATAACTTAAAAAAGAAAAACATAAAAAGATTCGACCTCGATTCTCTAGGTTGAAATATCAATTCACTAGATCGATTCAGTAATGTATATGTATATGTATATGTATATATATATATACATATATATATATATATATATATATATATATATATTAA